TTATAAAATTCCTCAAATACTTTCAATTTTTCTTTCATAGCTCTACATAATTTACCTGTTTTATCTTTTATCATGTTTATCGTTCCTTCCATTTTCTTTTTCTGTGTTGATTTGGCTAGGATCTTTGAATTCCTATCACTAAACTCAAAATATTCCCTCCTTAAATAAATTAAATTTTCTTGTACTTCGTCTATTTCCATTTTATCCAATTCCTCTTTTTTTGCTCTTAACCTAGCATAAATTCGTGTATCTCTCTTTATTACATATGCTTTTTCAATCTCTTCTATTTCTCTTTCTAAATTCCTTTTCCTTTCTTCTTGCCTTCTCTTTAAATTAATTGTCTCTTTTATACATAACCCTCTGGTCACTGCTTTCATAGTGTCCCATAGAACTCCTTTTGTCACCCCCTTTTCGTTGAAGCCCCATATTTCTTGCCATTCTGCTTGCACTTTATCTACTATCTCTTTATGATTTAGTATTCTTGTGTTTAACCTCCACCTTTTCATTTCATCATAATCACATTTCAACGCAATCTCAATTGAAACCAAAGCGTGATCCGAAATCTTAATCATACCTATATCAGCATTTAGCACTTTACTTGTCATATTTTTGGAGACAAAATATAATCAATTCTTGTATACACCTTATGTACTGATGAATAATATGTATATCTACTTTCATTCCCTTTTACCAATCTCCACACATCCTTTAATTGCCATTTATTCATTACTCTGCTTAATTCCGTTGTTTCAATGTTTCTAGCTTTTGATGCTATCGTAGTTTTATCCTTCTTTAAATCCATACAGCAATTACAATCTCCTCCAAATATTACATTTTGTTGATGGTAATTCTCTATTTGCTCTAACACTTTTTCATAAAATTCTTGCTGTTTCACATTTGGTGCGTATACATTTACTAATACATATTTTTCCTCCCCTATTTCCCCATATATTATTATATATCTTCCCTCTTCATCCTTCAATACCTTGTTTATGACAAAATTACATTTCTTTGCTATTATTATTGCTACTCCTCTTGACTTTGATGTCCCAAAAGATGTTTCGTAGTTCCTTATCCAGCTCGACTTTAACTCATTTGAGCC